ATTCGTTTCCTCCTGATTATTTTCATTTTTCATTTGCACTTTGCTCTTTTGTATTTTTTAATCTCATGAATAATTCACTGAATGCTCTAAGAATCTCTGGTCTTTACGTCTCTTTCCAGGTTTGTTTTCATCAGATGCTTTAAAATGTAATTGTCTCTTATTCATTTCTGATCTCTGTTATCAGAGTTTCTAAAGCAGGGAAATACAATATCTGTCACCTGTCAGAATGATGGAAATCATGAACATTTCTGATTCAGATGTATTTTTGATAGTACAGACAAATATTACTGTGTTGATTTCGTGGTCTGGTTTCAGACTCAAACACGCGTCTCACCGCTGATGTTTCTTCAAGCTCTTGTGAAGTTCAGGAAGAGATTTTATTGCTGCAGAATCTCTGCGCTTTAAACCAGTTCAGTCTCTGAGAAACACCTGAAAATAAAGAAAAAATTAAAACCATAAAAATCCCACAGACCAGGGGTCTTCAACTAAAGCTGCTTGAGGTCCAGTAATGAACCCTCCTCACCAGCCGAGGTCCGGACAGTTATATAGGCCTACCTAAAAATATAAATTGGTGGTTTTTGGCAGACCATTGTATCTGCAGGATATTTAAGCTCATATTTAAGAATTTTTAAGACCTGCACAAATAAAATTAAAATGACTGTAAAAAGCATGATTTCGAGTTCAGATACAAGTTTTCACAAAAACAAAAAGGTTTTTAGAATGATTAACGTCACATTTCAGCCTTTAAACCATTTTTTTTAAGAAAATGTAGGCAAAACTATCAATTGTTAGGCTATATTAATTTAAAGAATTATTATCAATCAATTATAACCTATTAATTAAATAATACATAAATATATTTTACTGTCTGAATGTTTTAAATTTTTATAATGCATTAGCTTCTTGTTGATCCACCAGTTCACATTTTCAATTCTGCGTGTTTGCATGAAAACATGGGTTGATTTTCACATTGGTCTGAACAACAACAGTGGATGGGCTTAATAAAAATGCACATTCATTCTCTGCCAGCAGGAGGCGCTTTTAGAACGGCAGAAACACAGCGGTTTCCCCGGTAACAGCAGAACACAAAGCAGCGCAGCAGCTGACTCTGAAACGTGCAGCGCTCATATTCAATGAAATCAGAGGCTTTTGAAGTTTAATCATCATATTAATCCGTATCGCAATTCTCATCTTACCATCCCCACATTTAAGACCTCCTAAAAATCATTATTAAGGCTTTCTTGTACTATTTAAGACTTTTAATGCCTTAAATTTGATACAACTAAATGTAAGACTTTTTAAGGATTTTCACTCACTGAAAGCTTCATCTGTCTCGCCGCTCTCTGCTCTCTTCACTGCACGCCTGACCGTAGCAACTGTTAACTGTAGTAACCACCCGTGATGCAATAGGACCGCTGACCTTGATGTGCTCGATACACATTTGATCTTGTTATAAAATAGCGCTTGGCGTTTATTTATTTCATTATGTCAAAAGGCTTCGCCAGCTGCCGACCACTGATAAAAATCCCACAGACTTACATTGACGGAATGTTCAGATGAGCCACATCTATTCAAACTCCGACTGACAAAATTCTAATCTAAGCTCCCAGAATCCCTTGAGACTCAATCAAGCCTAGAACATGCTAAATCATTCCAAAACATGCTAGCAATGTGATGATAATACTAGCAACTGCATAGCGAGACCCTAGCAACCACCCTGTGTGCCCTAGCAACTGCCTATAGCAACCACCCAGAACATGTTATCAACAGCATAGCAACCACCCCAAGTACCATAGCAACCACTCATTTAAACTTCATTTCTGTCTAATATTTTTTTAAATCTGTCAAACTAAAACTTGTGTTCACTGACTGAATGTGTGTGTTTTCTAGTGTGGATCATGGAGGAGAATCCAGGATTACAGCAGGTCTAAAGAAATGTATGTCTACACACACACACACACACACACACACACAGCTATAGTG